CCTTTGTTATTAGGTTGATAGCCACACCATACACCACAACGTAAGCATGAATCATGTAACTAAAGTAGAGATGTATCTGAAACGTCAACTGATTGATTAGCAACGACTATCATAGTCTATGAATATTTTCGTGTGTGCATGTGCTGTAAAAAATTTCACCTATTTAGGAAATACATAAAGGCTCGACATTTCGGAATGAAGTGAGAGTAGAAATTTTCATTTCTTAACACTTTCGAAACTCCCTGTTTGTAGTCGTTAAACTATTAGAGATGTTCAGGAAGCCTGAAAACAAAAATACGATTTCCAAAAACATACAAACAGCTATCTTTCAGAGTGTTAACAAAGGGGGAAAAGCAAGACTTTCGTAGTACGTACTCTCATTGTACTCCCACTGTACTCCGGAAGTACGAATCTCGCTTTTTCTCCTTTGTATTCGACCCTCTATCGAACAGATAAGTTATCACTTAAATCGATTCATTTTCATAGGTTTTAATTGATTTTTCTTCCTCTTACTTCTTTCTTTTGCATGATTACTTAGTGTCTCATCGAACGAAACCCGTTTTTATATTTGCTGTTGATATTTCAGTTATCTTCACAGTGACAACGAAAAACACTCAAACTCTTAGATTTTGCGACAGTAAAAAAGTCAGCTTCCAGTAATATTTATCTTTTCCATCGTGATAAATACTGCATGCTATGTTTTTTGTCGACACACATTTTGTCGAAACGTTTTTTTGTCGAAATGACTTTCGACGATGATGGATAATTACATTGTTTCTTTCTTTTCTTTTGATACTGGGAAAAGTTTAGGCACTCTTCTTTCATTTTTATGGGGAATCTATTGAAGTTTCTTTAAATTTAATGGATTCATTCAAAACATCGGATTCATCTATTGATAGTATATAAGACATTTTAACTGGATCGAAAAAGAATCGTAATTCTGAATAATCGGCCATCATCCTCAGCTGATCTCCGTCTTTAATGTCGTTTTGCCCTCATCCACAGCTGCTCCTTCGTCCTATGCGTTGCTTTTGTTCTCACCCTCAGCCAAGGATCTGCTCTGTGTCTAATTCCTTTCATTTCATCACAAGATGTGTAGCGAGATTTTTAGAGAAATTCTGAAAAAATAAATCTTAGAAGCTGATGTTTTTTCATAATTTATTCGGCTGTGACGCAAAAGATTCAGACTTCCATCAGATATAATATGCTGCTTTTTTAATAAATATGCACAACAATTTATCTTTTCTAAAAAAAATTAGTTTCTTGATATGCTGAACTTTTTAATGATTTATTTTCGACGAAAATTTTGGCAATCTCACGTTCAACAAAAATACGTTCGACGAAAAACATATTTACTATGATCAATACTTATGTTATTTAAAACATCCCAATGGCAATCAGTTTATACTGCTGACTCTTTCTATTTTATTTTCTGAAAATTAGAAACACAGTCAAAAAGACAATGACAAAGAAAGTACGAGTAAACTAGATGTAGAACAGGATTACAACTGTATAAATCTCCACTAAAAATTATATATATATTGCTTATCATAAATTCATCAGAAGAATTACTCTAAACATGGCAGCGAAACCTGATCTACTAATGATAGTTGGGATCAATGGATGAAAAACAAGAATATACCTTACACTTTTGAGATCCCATCTTTGCTTTATTCGATGTCTTTATGAGTATCCATAGGATGTAGATATTATTTCCTAGTAATCAAATGATGGAACTTCAACGAAATTTTAGCTAAATAATACTGGTTTGTCAAATCACTCTATATGTGTGAAAATTAAAAAGTCTTTTCAACTATTCTATTTGCATTTTCAAGCTTTGAACAGCTTGAAACTAAGGGTGAAATAGTCCTCATAATGAGAGCCAAATCTCGGTTAAAAAGCTGAAAAACTCGAATCAAATTAACGGATTTTATATTACTGAACAATGTTAAATCACATGGATCAAGATTTTCATTATAGTATCCCGGCGTTGACATCAAACATATTGTGAAAAAACATCACGAGTCTTTTATTTTGATAAGACCGATAAAAAGCATCGATAACACATCAGCGTCCGTATTCATCATCTAAAAACATCAAACAAGTTTTATTAATATTTGTCTATTATTATTTCGTTTAAGGATGAGAAAGTTTAGCATTAAAAGATCAGTTTTCTTATTGTGTCTATCACTGCTTTTTATCATGAGTTAATTAATAATTGAGTGAGTCACAGTCACTATGACAGATTTTTCGACAATGAAATCATATCTTGAATTATTCTCAACAGAAATTTTTGATTTCTTAACTCCATATGATCTTTGGAAAGCTTTTTTTAATCAGAATGATCGATTCAATGTTATCATTCATTCACATCTATTTCGAGTTGATTTTTAATTTTATTTGTCGCTATCTTCAACCTGAACAAGTTATGTCTCTTACTCTTTCCAAACAAAACATGCCGAATCAAGTTCAACTTTTTCTCGACTATTTTCTAAATTTTGAAAAACTATTTATTAATCTTCAAATAATACGATTGATCGAAACAGAAAGTATCTTTCCTGTTGTACCATTGAGTGTTTCATCTATCTTAATTGTAAATTGTCGAAACAATCAAGATGATGAACATGATCAAAACATACAAATACTTAGTGCACCAGTTAAACATTTAATATACTTACAAATCGATTGATATTTCATATCATACATTAACTCATTTATTGATTAACTCTTGTTTAGTTAATGAATTCAATTGTATTCTTTGAATCAGAAGAAGACTTATTACTTAATTAAAATCAATTATTTCATTATCTAACGCATCCAAAAGTTTGTTTTCCTGATGACAAGAAAAAAAATCTTTAGATAATTCAGAATATTTATATATACTTTAATTTGATTGAAATGAACATATCATTTAAATCATTAGAACTTTGTTTATTCAGAGTCTATTAATGAAAACATTAATCAAATCTAATTTTAAATATAGTTTTGCAAGAGATATTATAATACTTAAAAATATAAAAAAACTTACTTTTTTCATCATGTCCTATATTTGGTTTGAAGAGTAATGTTGGTATATCGCGTGTGAACAAGATGGATTATTGGAAATGACAGCATCAATTTATACAGTTTCTTATTTTCGATTACGATATATCAGATATCTTAGCAGCATCTTTCCATCAGTTTCTACAGCTCCAAAATGTATCGAATAGCGTTTATTTTATAGCAACAAGATTATTTCATCTTTATCTTACATGCTCCTCTAGTACAAATGAATTTCCTGCGAGACAACTCAAATTTAAACTATACACTTCATTTCTATACTTTATTCATATTGAGATTGATACCCAGATCCATCTGACACTTAAAGGATAGATATCATTTCTATGCAGTTTTATAATGCAAATGCATTCTCTAACGCTATAGAATCGAAGCCCAAAGTAGGGAATTGTATTTGTAATAAAAATGAGTTTTTGCCATATGTCTTCGATATTTAATACCTATAGTTACACTAAAATTTTGTAGTTTATGCCATCTAGCATATCATAATCTGATGAGTTTCGAATTTTTCTGGCAATTGGAATTGACCATGCTCTCGTGTATTATCATCATCTTTTGCTTCATCATATTGATAAACAAAAATCAATTAGGATATTGCTTCGAAGTAGTCTTATAATATTCAATATTGTTTTCTTGATTATCAGTAAATATCTATCTCTATATGATTTGTCTGAATGACAACAAACCGGAAGAAAAATCAAAATGATTTTTAGTTGATATTTTTTTATTGATAATTCTTGTCGAACATAATCATGAACTTGAAATTTTTTTTCTTCATGAAAAAATGTTTTTGTCAGGACAAAATGTAAACATCTGTTATGTTTATCAATTGTAAATTCTTTTTCGCATATGACACAGTAACCTGTTTCATTTTTTGTGCATTCTTCTTTACATACTTCTTTGTGATGTTCTGATATCCTCTCAAGTATTTTTTAGAGAAAATGTATTTGTACTGATTATTGTTTTACTATTGTCTTCGGCTCAGGTATCGTCGGTTGAATTTTCACTAATGAAAATACTTGAACAAGATTTTGCATTTTATCAATTTGTCCTTTCCAATACACAGTTGATATCGGCTGCTGAATATGCTACGATTATTTCCATACATATTTTGGTATGATCTTTGAAATCACCTCGTTGGGTGTGAGTGGGGACGAAGATGAGTAACTAGAGAACCTATATCCACACCCACACCCTTCATTCATAATAACAGACCTTTTAAAATATTTTTATTTAAGGACTTCGAAGGTAGTGCCTATTGATAATGAATATCTAAAACAGATACTCAATGCTAATATTGATGATGATGATGATACTAGTAATCAATGTATATATGATCTCAGTGAGCAAAGTGAGCATGGGTTTGAGTCGATTTAGAGATGCCTACATCCACAGCTACGCACCATATTATGTTAACGATAATTTTTTCTACTCATATCGACATCAATGAAATACTAATGACATGTAAACGTTTGAATATATTAAACATTGCAAAAAAAAAATGCGCAACTTTGGTTGTTTGATAATATGTAACAAGAAGGGATTAGTAGCCTATTGTCGATTTCCTGTGAACTATAATAACTCTTATAAAGATTTTTTAAATTATTTGACAATTCCGATTTATCAATAGTTAGTCATATATGTACTTGTCTGCTATATAGTCCATAAGGATCTAGTTTAAAAATATTTCAAACAGTTCCTATGTTCTATAAAATCCCATGTCACATATTTCCAATTAATCTTCAATAAATAATGATAGAAATTTTACTGAATAATTATTGTGAACGTTTGTTGAGGCGTCTGAAAATTCTGTTCAAATATAGGACAATATTTTTCTTTGTTGTGATGATTGATAAGAAAAAAAAATTATGAGATAAATTGTGAAAAAAAATCATTTCTTAAATTTGTTTTCTTAGCTATGACAATAATATTGACAAAACAAACTAATTATATTTAACACTTTCATAACCATATTTGTCATATTGTTCTCGTTTATATTTATCCGATAAAATCGCATATGCTTGATTTACTTTTTTGAATAATTCTTCAGCTTTTTTATCACCTGGATTTCTATCTGGATGCAGTTCTTTTGCTTTAAGTAGATAAGCACGTTTGATTTCTTTTTCAGTAGCTGTTCGACTGACGGATAGTAAATTATATAAATCCATAGGTGCTTCTTCTTCTCTTCTTGATGCTGATTCTCTTGTACTAAAAAGAAAACATCATTTGAACTTCAATCAATTCTGTTACATTACACTATGTTCTAAAGATCAGTAAGATTTGTCATAGATAAAAACTAAAATGCTTTACAATTTATAATTGAGAATCAAATCAGTAATTTTATATAGTTAAGTTATAGTTGCTGACTACGATCCGAACATCTTTCAACGGGAAAATGAGTCTGAGATTCTCACTCTATTATCTTTTTGATCTATGATAAAATTATCGAAACTGGTTCCATAAAAAATCGTCAACGGTTAAGAAAACCCTCAATAGCACTGAAAAAGATGACAGATGAAATCGTTCAAGCTTTGCAGCATGTTTTAGTCTATAGCGTTGGCAAAAATGTCAAGGAAGTTAATCTGCCAAAGTCGATAGTTCATCGAAAAATGTGTAGTGTACATGACTCAAATAGTAATATATGGTTTAACACAACAAGTCTATGATGAAGAAAGGGATTTGTGTTAAAATCGTTGAAAATTCAATATCAATGATGGAAGATCAAGAGAACAACGATCTCATTTTCTTTTCGAACACAGCAAATTTTCGTCTTTCCGATAATGTTTAGCAGTATTCATACTACTAAAAAAAGGCAAGTTTAGAAATTTCAAGCATTTGTGTTCTAAATCTTCGGTACTTAACAAAATGGTGTAATTTCCGTAATTTGGTACTTCCTGAAGTTACCAAAATTTCTGAAACATCTCAAATTTTGAATATTTCTAAAAAATGTTTATCTGTATTCCTACGTGATTATTAAGCTGATGGATGTATTTGTAATTTTCTTTTGCATAGATGTGAACATACATTGCCTTGTTAAATAGCATAATTGTCGCTTTTGCGATGCAAATGAATTCATTCGATACTTTTGATGTTACAATGAATCCGAAAATTTCTATTATAATCGCAATGTTTAGCGAACAGATTATTACTTCTCACTTTCTTTTATCGAACAAACGACTAATCAGCATAATTACTTGAATCTAATCTAAAATTATTTACATTCCATTCTAAAGAACAAATGGACGGCAACGAATGTGAGTTTCCAAAAAGACCAAACATAGTCTCATTTTTCAAAATATGTTCGTCTGTGATTGAATAAAAGCTATGAGGGCTAATGAATTGAAAGAGGCCGATTACTGTCATGGACTCCACGGACATTAGATCTGTTCAAATTGGATTTCTTTTCTTGAGGATACACATAGTCAAACAAATGGTTACCAGTCACAAGCGAATGACTCTAACAATTTAATGTCCATAATACCTAACAGATTGAATCGATTAGAAAAATAGCATTCCATTAGGTTTTTCTTTGAAACCTTAGCAAAGAATATAATTATGTATTAAAACTAAGAGTAACAGTTTTTAATAGGATTTATAAACTTTCTTTTTTAGAAACAAAACTTGTAACAGTCGTCTACGATCAGAAAGAGAACCTGAACTCATTAGGTAAAACTGGTAGATATTCTTGAATTTTTTATAAAGTGACTTTTGGAGCACTATGTGTATTCAACGGTAAATGATCTGAAGTGTTTACTATTATTGACTCTCAAATGAACATGAGATAAAGTATATTTAAAACAAACCGTTGTTGTTGTTGTTGTCTATACTGTTGTTGGTATTGTTGTTGTTGTTGTTGTTGTTGCCTATAAGATTGATATTTTTGTTGAAAAGAACTTGTAAAATCATAAGTAAATTGTGATGAATTTGAACGATAATTTTGCCATTGTTGTTCATTAATTCTCTGTCGGTAGAATTTCGGATAATATTTTGCACAAAGACCAGCAAGAGGTGAAACAATAAAGGCAATTGGAACTAAAACTTTGAATGAAAGAAGTGAGGCGAGTAAAATACCAATAGATGGATCAATAAATGATCCTAAACCAAATAGTGCTGTTAATACCATTGGATAAAAACCAATTAACGTTGCTAAAGTAACTTTAGTCATTGAATATTGTCTGTCACCAATCACTTGACCGGTTATGCCATCGACTAAACATGTAAAATTTGATTGAGAACCATATTGATAATTAACAACATATATTGGATAATATAAAAGACGTTCTTGTTTAGAATAAATATCAAAGTGAAAGGATTTAACTTGATAAGTATTGTATTGAGGATATAACTAGATGACAACAAAGAAAAGCATTTTCTTTTCAGATAAATTTATGCAAAAAAAAAAAGAAACCTGTTTTGAGTTTTGAACACATAAGTGTTTGATTTGAGGTACAATATTAAGATCCCAACCGATTTGAAATGTTGTATCTCGATCAACTGTCCATTGTTCAACATCATTTTCTTTACAATTAAGATTAACAATATTCTGATTATGAAATGAAATATTTAATTTATTTAAATGATATCTATCAAGTGTTTGAGCTGCATATATATTAATATCATGTAATGATAGATTATTAATCGTCATTGGAATCGAATGCCATCGTTGAGTTGGAACAATATTTTTTCCTTGCTATTCAAAGAAAACTATTGAAAAACTAAAGGAAAACTTTTTGGTCAGCAAAAAAACAAACTTTTGTCACTGTTATATATGCAAGATCGACAGAAGCATTTATTGAACCTTGAAGAGATAAATTCCAAAATGGTAAATAACGTCGTGTAATAGTAATGGCATCATCTTTTGTCGATTGAGTCCATACATCTGGTGCAAACCTCTTCGACAAAAAGAAATATTTTTATTTTATTTATGGTTAACTGAAATACTTTATTTTTTACCATAAAGATTTAATCCATTTATCAAAATTAATTCGAGCTTGATTTTCATCGATTTTTTCTCGAATTCCTTCATACTTTTTATTTGAAGCATGCCGGTAACAATTATATAATGGACGAAATCGTCTAATTAACAATAAATTAAATGATCTTTTCATTTATTTACGAGAATTTATAATTATGTACTAGAACATTGAGCATATCTTTTACTATTCAAAAAGAAACCAATAGACTAACTGCGTGTATAGATCAGGAAAGATTTTTTTAAAGAAACATAGAATAAGGACATCTATCTGTGTTGACACTTCTCACAATTTGCTTTTTTCAATTTCTGTATAATTGAATTTGTCAGAAAGAATTAATATGAGAGATGTTTCAGATTTTACTATTAAATAATCACGATTGACTTGAAATTTTACTTATTCTCTTGAAACAATTTGTAGATAAATGAATAAAATATAGAAAAGATAATTAATCAGTAACACAATATTAATTACATAATATAAGAAATAAACATCAAACGCATCTTTATTCCTAAAATCAGTTAAAAAATATTCCATATTCAAGTAAAGAACATATACCATTAACTCGATCGATTACTTTAATTTAAAAAAAGATTGTTTGTGATTATGGACAACAGTGAGTTCATATATGAAGAATCACTCATTCATACGACTAGTTTCGGTTTTTTCTAGAAATCATTATCAGATATGTTTACAATCGATATTACATTATATAAACAGGATATCTAAAATATCTTAATTTTGAAATAATTTTATGAAAGTAAGATATTGACAACGTGAAAATTTTGAGGACATATATGGTAGTAAAGTGATTGTTTTGACATCATAGTAAACTTTGATATTTTGCGTAGGTATAGATGCGTGAGATATGATGTTCTACGAAAAGATTCTAAGCAATCGTACCACGATCGTGTTGGCCCTCTTGAAGGACTATTATCAGGTTTGTTTAGAATCATAACTATACAGTTGAGTAAACTTCAAGTATTAGAAATATCGTATAAATGAAAATTAAAAGAATTCTGATATGATTAATTTTCAAAAGTTTAATCATAGTTAGGCTATGAGAAAAACATTCTACCTTATCCATACGCCGTCAGAGAAAAAGTTTCTTTTCGATTAAATTATCTCAAGTGAAAAACCTAGCGAAATAATAGTCCAAAATTGAAACAGTAGATCACTTGATTTTGCCTATGAAAAATACGAAGTAAAACAAGTATAAGAGGTCTGTTTTGACATCTAAAAATTGCTGAAAATTGGTATGTTCACTACTTTTAGTTTAGCTGATAACTGACCTGATCGTTCGACCTTGAAAATGTTTTGTTTGCTAGTGAAACGTATAGGCTACAAATTCACTATACCGAAGTTTCTAATATATAATGCAAAGAAACTCCGAAGCAAGTTCACTTTGATCACATTTGTCACAGCGTTCTCATTCTTATGAAATGCTGTGTGTGTAAATTACGTCATAAACGACAAAGCTTGTAATTAAAGTGAACTTATGACAAAAAAACCTATAGATCAGAAACTGTCGAAAATTCAACAAAATGTAGTCTTGCGGAATAGTAATATTTTCAATCATCCTCAAATGCTGCCAGATTTCCTACAGTTCTTTTTTTCACTATGGATAAACACTTAAAAACGCATCTAGATCGTGTGAATGTAAGTGTTGAGTAAGGATCTTTCCGTCTACACCCACATCTAGCCTTCAATTTTCGATTGTTTTGTTTCATATTCATACGTGAAGCTCTTTTTTATACCTAAACAAGTTTGTTGATGTTGAAGATTAAATTTTCTCAACCAATACTTTCATTTATTGAAGAAGAAGCGAAGCAATTATTCAATCACAATATGTCTATGGAGAAAGCTCTACACTAATGACGCCTGAAATCAACAACTTCTACATAAAACAATGATTTAGATTGATTAGCAAAGTATTGTTTGCACATGTGCTCTCAGTGATTCGTGTTCTTATTTGCTTGTAAAACAGCTGAAGAAATATGACGCTTCTTTCGCATCACATATTTTGCCTTAGTTTGACTACAATGCACCTCATTGTGCTTGACTTATCATGACCAAAAATAGCAGTGCAAATTCTATGACATTTCTCTTAATTCATGTGTCGTCTGGTAAGGATGCTTGGTTTCGATCGACTTCTCTTTCAGTGGATTCTGATGGATTTATTGTTGATTCTCATGCTGACCAAGACGGGAAAATCTTGACTTTTTTCGGACAACATGGTATGCTGGTCATATCAAATGTGTTAACGAGAAAAGAATGTCAACTTGGTGTTGAACATATCTGAACATTTGTACAAGAAATATGTGATTTGAGTATCGAGCAAAGCAAACTAGAAACATGGCAATCAGAATAGCCGAAATTTTCCCATTTTGGCATATTAGGTAGCGTACGTTGGTTATATCTTGAAGCGTGGGAAAACTGAAAGAATCCCAAAATCTACAAGGTGTATTTCGAATATTGTTTTGTCATCATGAATCGATGGTAAATATAATATGAGTTAGCTTGATGATACTCACCACACACTTTTATTTCCCGTCCTCGGACATAACTGAAGATCGGGATAAATGGAAGACTCTACCAAATTAGTTACATCTAGACATAAATCCATCAACAGGTTGAGCGACAACCTATGGATTTGAAGATGTTACCGCAAGTCATTTTGAGCCGAGTAACAATACACTTACTGCACAACAACTTTCAACTAATAATGGTATGTGTGTAAGAAAACTACAAGCGACACTCACCCTAATCGATTGTCGAGAAGACGATGGTGATTTTCATGTTGTAACGGGCTTTGAACATTGCATCACCACATGAATGGAACAATATCAACAACTATACCTCAACTTGAATGAGATCAATATCTTATTTTTCATTTTGCTCGTCTGTCGATTTCTTTTTATTTACATCCCTAATGCCTTATTGCTTTATATATTCATGTACTTATGTCTTGCTTTATAAGCAAATTTTTTTTCTTCATGTTTTTGAATAATAATATTCTTGCATTTATGTAGGTAATAATTGTTCTAGTACCAAATATTTAAGTTTGCTTGCTTTTCCTTGTATGCTTTTTTCTGTGTATTTGTATGAACTATCGCTCTTTCTCCTATGCTGCAGAAAATGATGAAATATACATATGTTAGCTCACGTTGATGTTTTATTTTATTAACTAAAAATGTGAAGTCGGATCATCATTCAATTATTTATAGAACCAGCAACGCAAATTTTCCATTCACATCGTGTCCCACATACTTTTTCTCTAAGCTAACAATTATTGATTGCTGCTGTCGTACACAATTCATTCCGTCACAGCCACCCACCTATGATGTACACAAACGATTATTTATTCTGCCTGCCAGTACAACTATGAAAAGTCTTTACATTGAAGATTTTATATTCTCATATATCATGATTACCAAATAACATTTGTATGTGCACTTAATAATCTTGATTTTGAACAATAACTTTAATTGTCGATACTATATCGGAGTACTGATAAATATCTTTTTTCTCCTCAACTATTACTTTTTTCTTTTCGATTCTGAATTAATTTTGTTTCAACAATAATACCATATTACATTGCAGGTGTAATTGTTTATTATACAAACGATTAACACAATGTTTTTACTAAAAGATTATGCATCACGTAATTTTTTTACATACGTAAGTGAAAAGTTTTGATGTTCTTCATTGTTAATTAGAGATATTGGTTATAGTTAGATAAATATATTCTCTTGATTCTAGTTGATGCAGCTGCAGTACTGTATTGTTGAGTACTATATATAAACTTCAGTCAAAATTTACTGTAGTCATTGTGACTAATGGGCTTCTGTCGATTCTAATAGAAACCATGGAGAAGAAAATTTTTTAATATGAATAAAGACAATAGGCAAAAAAATTACAATTTCAGAAGTTCGCGAAAAATTGTTTGATATTTATTACTAAGAATAGAATATTTTTGCTACTACTTTTGAAGTGAAAAATTATGATATAGCCTCCACGCATTATAAGTCTAAATCTGTATAGACTGGGATTGACAATGAAGAACATAAAATTCAGATAGGCTATGCAATTGTTTAATGTACTATATGTAATACTGGAAAAATGTGGCTTTTATTGCTTGTTCGTTTTAAGTGTATTAAAAGCCATGAGCCATCTTTAATCGATAAGAACCGAAATTATGTTTTTTTTCTTGAAAAAAAAGTCTTTATTTTTGTGACACATGACCATAACAAGACTCTCTTTTGACAATCACAGAAAATTGTTAATCATTTGGTATAATGAATGCCTTGGCCTAAGCCTTCTTTTTTTCATATATGTACCTTTCTTTTATAGGCACGCCATTAACAATCGAATGACGAATATTTTATCTTTCTCCTTGTTTTGCTCTCACACTATTCGAGAACATTTCTATTTTCAGATTTGAATAATCGAGTTTAACATTCAGCACGTTAATCAATTTGAGACACTGCTGTACTTATTCTCGGTCATGGACAATTATTAAAAACTGATATCATGCCATGAAATTCCGGTACAGTACTGTTTTGACTTTAATTCAAACATATATTGATTCTTATCGGAGTCCACTTTTGATTCTTGAAAGATATTCATCAACTTGATAACTTATTGCAATTGTCTTTTTTCTTTAAACTGTTTTAGTCTTTTGCTAGTAGTTATTAGCTCCTACTAATCTAGAATGAGCATCAACTGTTTTTATCTCTCTTTTAGAATATGGCGGTAGATTTTCTACATTTGTATGTAGCTTCAAAATGTTCTTAGTTACAATGAACTTAAAAAATCTCTTCGTATTTTGCTCTGTTCGTTTTGTGTCGATCTAGCTCTCTATATTAAAAGTTATTTTATTGAAACTGCCTAAGCTAGTATTCTTTTTCACCACGGACAAACTCATGCGGTAAAAAAATGCTTAGAAACATGCTCAAAGGCAAAAACATCATTAACATCATTCCTGAAGTTCCTGTATTTCAATTCATATACGATGTTTTTCTTGACCGAATGGCTTTTGCGATGCAATTATGTAAACTATATTGAACTCATATCTTAGACAACGGTAATACACGTCGATTAAACGAGTTGTTTGAAGTTCACAGCAAAGAATG